ACGCAGTTCTAAAGAAATTTGCTACAATTTCTAGTACGGTTTTCTAAAGTTTTTTTGCGAAAAAGAGCACAAGGCAACTCATGTAAGAAAAATATATGCCCGTTCCATTATTTCTTGAGGAAAGAGTGAAGGCGAAATTAGTCAACGACGTAGCTTAAACGTACGTAGCAACATATCAAACAAGGCGAATTTATACAAGGTGGTGTTACTGGCGAATTTAGATTTTCGCGCGGTACTTCCTAATGTCAAAATGATGTGTGTGTTGTAAACAAGACGAGTTTATATTACAACAAACACATCATTTTGACATTAAGAAGTACCGCGGCGAAAATCTAAATACGCCAGTAACCAAGGTGTATTAAACAAGGTGGTGTTGGGGCGACAGCTGAGTTTTTCGCCGTGGAGGCCATTACGTCAAAATGATGTGTTTGTTGTAACTCATACCAATGACAGTATGGACATCAGCGTATAATTTGTTAGTGTAATTTTTTACTTATATACGGTCAACACCACCTTGTTAAATACGCCTTGCCAGTAACACCACATTGTATAAATTCGCCTTGATATCAAATTTGCTCTTGATATAGAGAAAGGGAGAGAGAAGCAACGGCAACGCCACCGTCATGCGGTGGTGAATTTTCGTTAACACGCAAATTCCGTCAGGTAGATCGTGTCAGCGTCAACGTATGTTTACGATTCGTCGTTGAATAATTTTGCCTTGAGGCAACAAGATTTTAAATATCAGATGTCAAATTCCTTGGACAAACACACACACACGAAATAAAGTCATTTTTTTTCTTGGCCGCTTATCTAAGAGCTGTGGCTCTATTCTGTAACTGTGAGAAAACGTAGTGTACAGCGAGTGCAAAACTCACAACCAAAAACTCACCCACTAAAATTCAGTGAGTTTTCGGAAGAGAAGTGTACACAATTTTGACAGTTAAAACTCATTCTCACTCTTCCTGAATCGAAAAATGAGGAAGTGTACACAATTCTGACAGCTAAAACTCATTCTCACTCTTCCTGAATCGAAAAATGAAGAGTGCACACAATTTTCAGTGTACACTTGAAAACTCACAGTTACCGAATAGAGCCCCTGGATACCAAGCATATTTTACTAACCCACTTGCAGAGCTACCTTAAAGGCCACTGGCAACGAAATTTCAAAGACAGTAAATTTTGACACATGCTGCAAGTAAATGTCAAAAATACCAACCTTGAATAGGCATGGAAACATTAGGTTTATCCCGTAGTGAAAATTATCCCTTTTTTCTGCTTGTGAGCGCTATTTAACCTAGAAAACTGTATTGTTAACTTATTGTACGGGAACAAAGTTATTGTCACAGACAAATTACACTTGCCACAAGCAATTTGCAGGCCGTTTTCGAATTTTTCGATGACAAGTCCTGGTTCAGACACAGAAACTTTTGTTACGGCAACTCGAAGTTTGTGGGAGAGAGTGCGACGAGGAAAGGGTAAGGGCACCGACGAGGAAAGGCTAAGGGCACCGAGTTGCTCGGGCTCGGACAACGCGCTTTGTGCTCTCGTTCGTCTGAGTAATTCAATTTGGCGGTTCACATCTGACAACAACAATTGTGTAAAAAATAATTGCTCTGTGTGAACGCGAAGGGCAGCACCAAAAGAGAAGTTGCCGAAAGTGAGCAACAAAAGTGTCTCTGTGTGAACCCAGTCTAAAGCTTGAATCACATTGGAAACGATGGGCTACGGACTACAGCTGTCAGATTATTTTAACACGTACTCTTATGTAGATAATTATTTTGGCAACGACACGGCAACACTGTGACTAGACAAAAGTGCAGCTGTGACCAGATTGGTTCTATTTCTATTTTTCTAGCGACAGATAAGATTCTTCGGGTGTATTTGACTATTGAAAGCTGCTAGTTTCTGCTAGTTAAAATTTATCTAGCAGAAATTAACAAGAGAGCCAAAAAAATAAGAGCGTAAGAACGAAAGAGGGTTGCTAGTTTTTTGGGTTAAGAAACGCTTTCCAGCAGAAATTAGTTTCATTTAATAATTGAATGTACGAACCAGGGATGATAAAGTAGGTACAATTGTACCTCTTTCCGGTGTTNAACATCGTTATCGATGCTTCGACTCCATGCATACAACAGGGAGTCGGTAACGTCGATAACTATGTTTAACCGGAGATTAGTGTTAACAGACATTGAGTAACCGGCCCTTAAAGGTACATTAGGTTCAGTCACTAGATTTTCGGTAGATACAATCATCTTTTGATCAGATGCATTTTTAATTTAAATTTGCTTTTTGCTTTACCTTGCAAATATATTTACTTGTAGGCACTAGGGTTTCCAGATTTTTTTATGCCCGAAATCAGTACGTTAGACTTCTTCATGCTAAAAAATCAGTTCTTTTCAGTACATTTTTATTCAAAGCTACATTGTGAATGTAAGTAACAGATAATACTTTAAAACGCCAGAGTACTTGTTTTTAACAAAATTTTGGTATATAAATAAAATATAGCTCATAAAAAATATAAGTGTTATTTACTTTAACATGAGTGTACACATCATTGCATACAGAAGCCAATAAATTATTTTATATTTATGAAATTGTTGAATAGCAATAATGAGATCATTTCCGCCTTCAGTGTTTAAGTAGTCAAAGAATTCTATACATTTCATTTTAAAATTATTTTTTATTTGCAGTTCACTATAAAAAAATGTTAATCATAAGCCGGTTTCTCTATTTGCGCCAGGAAGCAAACTTTATACTTAATATCCTCTGAGTTGCTTTGTTTGAGTGTGGTATCGAAAAAAATTACATATTTTTTCAAACTGTGGTAAAATACCACTATTTAAAACTTCATCTAAAATCCTCATGACTTAAATTAATTTCTTCAACTACGCAAAAACTTTGAAAGTCTAAGGGCCGGTTGTTCAATGTCTGATTAGCACAAATCGGAGGTAGAAGCTCCGGTTAAGCACAACTCCTGCTTTATCGATCACATGTTACATGCATGATGTCGAAATCGTCGATAGTGTAGTGGTAGTGATAACCAGACATTGAACAACCAAATCGTTGCTTCGATAAATTTTCGTTGCCCAAAACGGAGATAGGTATAATAAATAGTGAATTAAACAAATAAAATCAACATAAAAAGTTAATTTTAGGATGCCAAAAATATTGCAAAATATAATGGGCATAATCAGAAATAAGTTTAAACTAAGCTAGCTTGTTATTTATGTTAATTTTGCCATTTACTTTTCATTCCACCGTCTCACCGGCAACCGATTTGAAACCGCAAACATTTTCGGATTTGCGATTTGCAAAATTGTAATCGTAAATTTGCGATTTGAAAGGTAAAACGCAAAATATTTACGTTTCTGAAAATGTGAACACGGCTGATGAATGTTGTAACTTTTTTAGATACAATCTGTCTCATTTAGGTACATTTATTTTTTGATATTAGCAAAGAACGTAAATCTGTAAGAGACAACACGTTATAATTGTAGCGAGTGTTAACATCAGAAGCGCGCCTTCTCTTTTGCCAAATACGTTTTTTGATTGGATGAAAAGAGAAGGCACGCTCCTGATGTTCACACTCGCTACAATTATAACGTGTTGTCTCTTCTTATAGATTTACGGTCTTAGATATTAGGTACAGCCTGTTTAACCCATTTTTCAACTAGTACGAACCCGAGGTATTTCGGAATCGATTGCAATAATTAGGACAAAAACAGAACAAGAGCAACTCTGGCAACACTAAATAAGCACATCGAACAGAACTAAATAATACAAGGCGAAAAAGTATATGGACGGTAGAAATATATTTAAAATAAAAGTTTTAGCTGTATCTACAATAAATTGTCGAGATTACTGGGAAAATAAATTGGACTAAGGATTCGTAACCAATTATGCAGAAGAACAAAAGAACGCGTACATCAGAGGAAAGTGCTTCCATTGTTTATGGAGTGCTCGATGGCGGCCAAAATAGAAGTACCAATTGTAAAAGCACAACTTTTTTGTAATTTCACCCGTACTTCATAACATAATACCTATAAATATTCTGTGCATTACAGGTCAGAAAGGAAACAACAGAAATGTTCTTCCAAGGGGGGCAAAAGGAATAGCACAGCGACGCAACCGACATCCGCTGCTTTCTGAAGATGGTGCTCCCAGCGGGCAACGGATCTATAGTAACACAAAATTGTGTGTTATATGCGGGAGCAGTGAAGAAATTGTTGATTTATCGACCAATCCAATAATGAGGAAAACGATGGCATCCTATTGTGGGAATGATAATTTGGTGAGTAAAGTAGTTGAAGTTTGCAAAATTAAAATAAAGGCCACTGCGTTTATACTATTAACTGGCCAGCCACCGTGGTCCGCGGCTTCGCCACGGACGATCCAATATAAAAAAAAAGTTCAAGCCCCAAGATTTATTCATACATGTATGTAAAAAATAAAATTTGGGTTAACTTCGCTATAATGCAAGAAAAAGCTCGCAATTAAATGAAAATGGTAAAGCGCACCGTTGAAACGGTACTATCGTATGAACAAAAGGTGAATAAAAGAATTTAATAACATAACTTTTCGAAAGTAAATGCATATACTAGACGAACAAACAAATCGAATTTCGACTTGTGTTTATTTTCTACAAACAATTTTTCCTTCTGCCCAGCAAACATTGAGGTTAGTTATCGATTAGAGAATGATTGGAGAACTAGCCACATTCTCCAATCTCAAACGTTAGAGAGCGATTCGAAAAACTATCGAAAACATAGCGATCTCAACACCCAAGCTGCCTTCATGGCTCCCCGGAGTTCACCTGAGCAAAATAACCCCAACACGACAACCTTCCAACATAACACAGGCAACCACACCCCACCTGCATACACGCCGCCGCAAAACACGGGCGAGGATAGGTAGTTCTAATATTGGAAAATGCATTCGACTTTGAAAAAATAGATATGTGCTCCTTAGTGTAAATAAATATTTAAAAGATTTTCCCTGTAATTTTCTTTAAAGTAATATATTCAAAAATTTGATGGAGCTATGGAACAATAATTTAAACATGGTAGAAGTTATAGCTGCTATTTCTGAGATCTTCATCGATGATCATGATGAACTGCAAGTTTCAAGCTGCTAAAAAATCCCGTTGATTTTTGGCAATTCTTTTGTCCCGTTGTCTTCCATATATAAGAAAATTGTTGAGCATATCCACCTTCAACCAAAAAAATTCTCAAAAATCGGGGATTTTCTCCAACTTAAAACTTGCACGACTTAGACTACAATGGGCTACAAAACTGCATACCAAATATTTTTCTTAAGATTTTTTTAAATTTTGGTGAAACCATGATAAAAATATTTAAGGGTAAAACCATGATAAAAATATAGTAAGGTAGAACCGCTGAGAGTCATTTTTAAAACTCTTGACGTTTCCAAACAATTTAATTTTTAAATTTACTGACAAACTCACACACATTTTCATTTTCAATCTCGAGCAACAACAATTTCGAACAATTTCAATTTTTTATTTTCACTTTTAAATGATTTTAAAATGTTGGCAAACTTCAAAAAAAAAATCATGGCCGACAAATTGAGAGAACGGTTCTACCCATGGTGGAATAATAACAAGGTGTTGTCAGTTACTTAACCTCACTTTTTCGGCAGGTCTATTCCGGTCACACGTTTTAAAGTAGTAGAAAAGGTTTTAATTATTTACTACTTTTAATCCGTTGGTGCATACTATTTCAAATTAAATGTATAAAAATGTTTAATTACAGGCTTATAACCCAGGGCATGAATCACGTATGACGACAATCGTCTGAACGATATCGTGTCGAGATTGTCTTGCTTCATGAAACCCAAATATTGCACAAATGCATAAATCAGTGTTTTGACGACGTAATTTTGTTAGTATCGTTTGAGCGACTATCGACATACAGTCAGTCAATAAAGTTTAAGTACAGCGAATTTTTTACAATACGGGCAACTATTTTTTAAATATTTTATTTTTCGCTAATTTTTTATAAAAATATGGTTAATTCTACAACAAAAACCCCAAAAAGAAAAGCTCCAAACGTTGTGCAAAATTAAAGAAAATTCTGCAAAGTTTCATTCAAATATTGCGCTTTTTATTTACGCTCTCTAGAAAAAATTTGAGTATGCATTATCAAACATTATTTTATATGGAGAAAATGAGTGACACCTTCAACAAAAAAAATTCCTAAAAATCAATGGTAAGTTCTAGCTTCCTCATACTTACACTTTATTATACTAGAATTGAATGGGCTAAAAAACTGCATACTCAACTTCTTTATAGAGAGCGTAAATAAAAAGTGCAATATTTGAATGAAATTTTGCGGAATTTTCTTTAATTTTGCACAAGGTTTGGAACCCTGATTTTTGGATTTTATAATAAACTTTATTGACTGACTGTATATTGTAACTTTAAAAAAGTAAAGGCGGTAAAATAAGGCAATTTCCTATAAGACTGTAAATGATTTTTTAAATAGACTAAAAAACATAAATATCGATAATATAAGNGATTTCCGAAATAGCTACCACTTCTACCATTTTTTCAAATTATTGTTGCTTTTGCACAATAATTTTTTCATTAAAAACGGTCTCGAGCTCAATAAAAATTGTTGAATACAAATCCATCAATTTCAAATATTAATATCGTTCTGACAAGTTCTTTAAAAATCGAGATAAAACGAGTTACTAAAACTGAACATTTTAGATACTATTTCCCAACGAATAGTAGTATAAAAATTAAGATCGGCGGCACTGAAAATAAGCATGCCGATCTTGTCAAATTTACAACAAACACGTCGCTACTGACAACACCTTGTTATTATTCCACCATGGGTTCTACCTTGCTATGTTTTTATCATAGGTAAAACCGCTCGCTCAATTCGTCCACCATTTGGGGTTTTTTAATGTTTGCTAGTATTTTGAGTTACTCTCTCGAAATAATTCAAATGTCTTATAAATTCAAAATAAATAAGCGGTACGTTACCCAACAAACAAAATAAACGTAAAGCAAGTTTTTTTAAGTTTTCAATTATAAACATTAAGCTTACAAAACGTTGATTTTTTGTTTGTAAAACGCTTGAAAGTAAGCGTAATATAATCGAAAAGGAACATTGGTTAAAAGCGTAGAAATAAAAACTTGTCATAAATGTTCAAAAGAAAGCTTTTTATAAGCGTAAAAGTGTAAACTTATAATAAAGGTTGAAAAAAAGTTGTTTATAAGCGTATGAATATAAACTTACTAAAAATTTTCAAAAGAAAGCTTTTTATAAACATTTTTATAACCCTTTATTTAAAGATATTTCATTAAAAACTCATACATAGATTGCTTAACATCTAGAAACTAAACGAAATGCGAATTTTCGGCGAACTCATCTACAGTCGCGAAAATATAAATAGGGAATAGACATTTTAGCATACACATAGACATTTTACGATAACACACAAAAATTAAGCATAAAAAAGTTAATTATTATATCTTGTTGCGTGCTTCCAATTACATGCGGTTATTGACAAATTGGAAAAACGACATCGATGCAGCTATATATTCCGCTTCATCGCCGCCATTCTCATTGACGAACTTTTCTGAAAAAAATTTAATACATTTTTAATTGAATGTTAAAATAAGAAAGGATAAGGAGAACTCAACATTTGAAGACTCGAATGCTCCACCGATTAGCGCAGCGGGTCCTGGATTGGATTTTTTTTACCGCATCGGTTTTATCTAATTTTTCTTTTAATAATATATTTTAAAAAACGTAAACACGTCACTTACGATTGAAAAAATGTTATATTTACTAATTTGCATTTCATTTATAAGTTTAAGTTATTTATAAACATTCGCTCTCAAAACTTATTAAAGGTTTATTTGAAAAAACTTTTAATAAGCTTAATATTAAAAATGCTTATTTAACGCTTATTATAGCAAACTTACTTTAAGATTTTTTTTAAACATTTACTGAAATGCTTGTTGGATACAAATTCAATTTTCCCCTTTCAATTTTCAATACACTCTCAGTTTTTCACAAACACACTCTTATTTATTACTTGAATGGGCAACTTGCTTTCAATTTTTCCCTTTCAATTAAGTTCAAATTTTTTTTTTAAACAGGGATGGTAATCATTATAAGTTAAAAAATATTAATCAACATTTAATTATTATTATCCGATTTTTATTTTTTAATTACAAATAATAATTATTTATTGATTTTTACTTTTTTGCTCGAATGTAATTATTATTATATAATTTATATTTTTTTGCTCAATAATAATGATAACTTCTTGATTTCTATGGTTTTGATCGAGAATACTGATTATGTTGCGATTTTTATTTTTTCGCTCAGGAATACTCAGCTTCTGAGTTTCGATTACTTGTGATTTTTATTTTTTTCGCTCAGGTATAATGATTATCTTGCGATTTTTATTTTTTCGCTCAGGAATACTCAGCTTCTGAGTTTCGATTACTTGTGATTTTTATTTTTTTCGCTCAGGTATAATGATTATCTTGCGATTTTTATTTTTTCGCTCAGGAATACTCAGCTTCTGAGTTTCGATTACTTGTGATTTTTATTTTTTTCGCTCAGGTATAATGATTATCTTGCGATTTTTATTTTTTCGCTCAGGAATACTCAGCTTCTGAGTTTCGATTACTTGTGATTTTTATTTTTTTCGCTCAGGTATAATGATTATCTTGCGATTTTTATTTTTTCGGCTCAAGAATAATGATTGACACCCGATTTCTATTTTCTTTCGCCAAACATAAAACTTAAAACCTTATACAACCAAGACCATAAGAGCTGTTGACTTGAACCTTTATAATAGCATAGCTTTTATCTTGTGTTATCTTCCTATAAAAACGAAATGTTTGAAATTATAAACTTATAGGCGGAAAATTGGTATAGAAATGAAACAAGTTCGTTTTCATGCCGTGTGCATGTGTCATATCTACATAGGCATGTACATACTCATGCACGTTGCACCAACTAGATTAAAAATTTGATTTTTTCTTTACTTTCGTAATTATATTGGAAAAGAAATGTGTGTGTAGTACTTCAAAATCAAATTGCTTGCAAACGTCATAAATGCGCGAAACCAATAACACGAAATATTGTAGGTATTGTAGGTAGGATCAACTACAACATGAAAATAGGTTTCCTATAGTTCCTGAAACCTCCATTTTTATTTTATTTAAAATAACCGGCCGCTTAAAATTGTCGGCCGCTGGGTTCAAGCCCTGGTTAAAGCAACATCGCAAAAAAAAAAAAAAAT